GACAAATAATGTGTGCAGTAACATAATTTAGTTTTGTTGGTTTTGTAAGGCATTGCAAACGTGTTTGAGTTGAAATTAGTCCCACATTGGAACACTAGAGTTCCTTCGAACATGTATGAGCCACTCTATTTAAACACAAGCCCTGGGTCTGTAGAATTACATCAAATTCGCATAGAACATTCATATCATCATTCCTGTATAGCCTCATAGATAACACACAAATTTCGCCATAAATCAAAGCCCTAGTGCTAGGACTTTGATTTAGATAGTAGTATCCTGGGGAAGCAAATGCCTGCAGAATTACAAGTACTGAGTAGGGGTGAAATTCTGTTTCAAGGACATTGCAATTCTGCAAGCCTGTTTATGCAAGAACAGTCAGTTTTGAATTTATTGCCATATTTAATTTCATTATTCTATTTGTTGTTTAATTTAATTGTTTAATTAAATTATTATAATAATATTGATTGTTGTTCCTCCAACAAGTTTCACTTGAGAGAACAAGTTAGATCAAAGGCAAATATTCCCACACCAAAAAAAATAAAATTTGAACTCTCAAATTGATTTACTGTGAAATTTCTCTCTCTTCAATATCCGTTTTGGATATGTTGAAACTACCCAATTAATATCAATAAAGTATAAACTAATGCAACTAGGAGGGTGCCTTCTTTTTAACTAAATAGTATAGCCGCGAACAACTATACTTGGGTATCTTTTTTATTTTTAAAAAATCGTATAGCCGCTCGGCTTTACTACAGTAATTTTAAAAAAAAAATAGTATCGCTGCCCGGCTATACTTGTGTCAAAACATGGACAGCTAATCACTAGGCGGGTCCTTTTTTCCTATAAATAGTATAGCCGTGCGGCTATACTTGGGTTATTTTAAAAAAAACTAGTATAGCCGATCGGCTATACTGTTTTTCCATGTGCTCGGGTAATTTTTTTTTTTAAATAGTATAGCCGTGTGGCCGTACCCGGTTATTTTATTTACAATTTAAAAAAAAAAAATAGTATCCTCTTTATATAGATACTGGTATCCTTTTAAAATTAAAAATAAGAAATTTTCCCGATTTTCTTTTATCGATAAGAGTAGTTTAGAACATTATCCATTAATGTTAGGCCATTACCCGAATCTCTATTGTCCTCGTTGATTTTTTTTACTTTGCCAGAGTTATTACCCATATAAAGAATTTAGCATTTTTCACGTTTAATACTCATATTATAAACGTAAGTACATATGTATCTATTTTCTATATACGTCTTGGGCTATGTTATTTAAATTAAACCCGATTAGTTAATTAATTATTTGAATTATTTTTAAAATTCAAATATCATATAATGTTTTTGTCTGATTGAGTTTGTCCTTATCTGATACCTGTTGGAACATGTATGAGCTACTCTATTTAAACACAAGCCATGGGTCTGTAGAATTACATCAAATTCGCATAGAACATTCATATTATCATTCCTGTATAGCCTCGTAGACAAACACACAAATTTTGCTAGAAATCAAAGCCCTAGTGCTAGGACTTTAATTTAGATAGTAGTATCCTGGTGAAGCAAATGCCTGCAGAACTACAAGTACTGAGTAGGGGTGAAATTCTGTTTCAAGGACATTGTAATTCTGCAAGCCTGTTTATGCAAGAACAGTCAGTTTTGAATTTACTGCCTGTTGAGGCCCAAAAAATCCATGGTTGAGCCCGAATAAATTCCTAGCCCAAAATGATATATTATTGGAAAAAGACCCGATTTGGAGTACACGTAAGTCTGCCATGCACAAGCCACGCCCTGCATGCCATGCCAAATAAAAATCTGTCACGCTAGAAATTGAGATTAAAATTATAAAGATACATTTAGCTTTGCAAATCCATGCCAATTATCCTATCAAGCGTCATAATTAAAAGCATGTCAAACGACATGCCATGCCAAGCAACATGCCATGCTAAGCGGGAAATTATTATTTCACACCCAATCGCACTACAAGCTTAAGTGGGCCCAAGCCACTCGAATGCCCGGGGCTTGCTGAGTGGGTTGTGGTATGGATGGTAACAAGCTTTCGTGAGGCCCATTGATAAGCCGAGAAATTGAAGTTTTGGGTTTCTTGGGAGCCCAAAAACTCAAGCCCATTTCTTGAGCCCAAATATGTGGGTAAGCATAAAAGAGAGAGAAAAGGAAGCCCAATACTCTAGAAAAAATTAGCCCTTCACCTTAATAAAATAGCCCATCACTTTAGGAAATTAGCCCATCCCCTTAATGGGCTAACCCATCACCTTAGAGAGGCCCACGTAACCAAGGAAAATATCTGCCATCTCTCCAGCACTTAGCTGGAAACCAAAAACAGCGACAAAACCAAAGCTACCCATGTGAGTGGGCTGCTGGGAACCTCCAGCACATGGCCAAAGACAAATCCCAACACAAGCCATCCAAAAAACCAAAGGATACTTGAGCAAAACACCCTTCAGACCAGCTGTTAAGCTCATAATTTCATACATATACATGCCCAAATTTACTTACTTCTTTTGCTTAGTTTCTTATAATTTTGAGTTATTTGCCTCCCTTTGTGTGTTTTGTAGGCCAAAAGAGCAAGAGAGCATAATTCATGCAATTCAAGCATGTTAAGGCCTAATTTGGATGAAGGGAAGAAGAGCTTAAAGACAAACTCATTTTGGCTACAGCCCCCTTAAGTTAATGTGCTAGTTTGAATGATTGATCACCATTTAGGCTTGTATGTTAGCTATCTTGGTTTGAATTAAGAGTATACACCATGCTTTAATTCGAATTGAACTATGAATAGGAAGAGTATGTATGGACATTCGACAACAGGGATTAGATACATGCTTGGTTGTTTAAATTGTTCTTCTATGCTTAATGGGTTCCTAATGCTTAATTTTAGGTTAGACAACAAATGATCAAATTAGGGAATTAGGAATACAAGGTTATGACCAAACACCATGGCTTAATCATACATTAGCTAGAATCAATCCGTTAATCTAATTGAACTTGGGAACTTATCTACTTGAGTTAGTTATTTTCTTTCTTCCTTGTTTTATTTATTTCCTTTCTTTTTCATTTCTGTTTTGTGTAGGGAAAATGAATTGGATCATTCAATCACCAATCCTCGTGGGATCGACCTCGCACTTACATATGCTATACTACCAAACGGCTCGTGCACTTGCGAGTATCACAAGTTGAGGATGCAACTAAATCCATTTTGGTGCAGCTGTATCTACCAACACCAGCGCCCTTACCAATTTCTTTCTCCTACCAGGTTTGGCCATAGAAGAGGGAAGGAAAGAAGGTGAGGTGATAACCAAAAATGGTGTTCACCATTAAAGCAGCTACAGGAAAAGCCTTAGAGCTCCCAAAAACCTTGTCTTTGTGTGTTTGGACAGAAAAAGGTTTCACAAATGGGGGTGAGTCGAAGGAAGTGAAGGGAAAGGAGAGGGGAGACTTAGCAAAATGGGAGAGAAACCATTAGGGTTTCTTGGGAAAGGAAGGCTTCTAGCGGCTATAAAAGGAGCCATCTTCTACCCATCAAAACCAACCCACATATGGAGAGCAAGCTTCCTCTCTCACCTACAGAACCCTGCAATTTCGTGCCATATTCCTCCATTTTCTCCTATTTTCGCTCCTGTTAGACTGTTCCAAAGTTTGACAGAGCTCTCGTCGAGCTGCCGGAAACTGCTCAACACACCCACCTTCCTTCCTCTTTCTCTCTTTCTTCAACAAATCCTTCCAAAATACCTTTCCCCTTTCCTTAGAACCCCTGTTACTCATAGGAACTCATAGCTCTCTCTCTCTTTAATGCTAAACTCATGATTGCTTTGCTCCCATGCCACAAGCCTTTCATGCCAAGCTAGAAAATTTATCTGTAATTTGTTGTTGTTTTCATTGGTGAAGGTAACCAAAGAGTTTCCTAAGGCGTTATCACCCTTTCAAGACATCTTTGGGGCTTAATCTTCGAACTCAGACACAAAGGGGACACTTGCATCATATTGCTCTTTACAGCAGCCTAGCCCACTTGCTGCCGGAAGAAAAAAGCCCCTACACTGCCATATTTAATTTCATTATTCTATTTGTTGTTTAATTTAATTATTATAATAATACTTATTGTTGTTCCTCCAACAAGTTTCACTCGAGAGAACGAGTTAGATCAAAAGCAAACATTCCCACAAAAAAAGAAGAAAAAATTGAACTATCCGCTCGGCTATATGTGTTTTGAAACATGGGCACCTAATCACTAGGTGGGTCTTTTTCCCCCCTACAAATAGTATAGCCGCGCGACTATACTTGGGTTATTTATAATAAAAAATAGTATAGCCGCACTAGTGTCAGAGACGACAGTCTTAGATGCAGATGAGTTTTTTGTTCATGTTTTTCATCTATGATATTAAACTCTTCTTAAAAAAATAAAAAAGTTTTAATAACCAAAATAGTATTTTTCCTGCAGTAAAAGTAAAATGAAAGATGATATATTGATATTTAAACCAATTTTTTCTCAATTCTTAGATTAGATCCAAGGGTAGATAACTACAACTTCCTAGGACCATAGGGTCCAAGAGAATAAGACTGAATTCTTGAAACCATAAGCAATACTCTTATTATATTGACACACTCACCCACCCAACCTCTATTATGTTCCCCCTTAGAGCTCTTCCACTCATTTGCCATGACAAAGGGCAACGACAAGTAAAGGTGGTGACTGTTCACTTGAATAGTATATGCCCTAGCAATTTTTGTGTGGCTTTTCCATCCATTGTCATGGTAATCCTAGGACAATTACTATCCACATGAAATTAATTTTATTTATATTTAAGAGATTAATAAATAAAAAATTTCTATGTATGTATAAATTTTGTTGTTGAATATTTTGGTAATTTTTCAGAATTTTTTTCAATTTTTTTCGTCGCCCCTCAAGCAGGAACTCGGGCTATCTTGCCTTGGGCCGGGATGGATGTCACCGCTGGAGGTGATTTTGGGAGACAGGGGGCTTTTGCCTGGGCTGGGCTGTCAGCTGGAACTGCTCTTACGCCTATCCATTTATCACCGCTCCCACCTATTGGAATCTATTCGTCCAAAAAAGTCCTCTCCGAACCCAATATCTTGAAAGAGACAGAGAATCAAACGTGGGCTCATCAGCTTTAGCGCTCTCCCGATTGCTCGTCTGCTGTCGTCGGTCACGTACTGTTGTGTAGCAGCGACGTCGTCTATCAGGTACTGTTCTCTCCTCTGGAACTGAGTCGTTAAATCTTTCGTTCCAGATCGATACAGATCGAAATTCGTATGGGAGGTGAGCGAATTAGTCAACTACGGATTTGATGGATTTGATTTTGGTGAGTGAAATCCAAATCCTTGTATTTGGGTGAGTTGTGCTGTATTTGGGTGGATTTGATGAATTAGTCAACATGAAACTGAGATGTATTTTTATTTAATTTCTTGATAAGCATACAAGTTGGTTTTTTGCCCTGAGATTCTAGAAACTAGATATTTATGAAGTATTTGGTGTCTTAAAATTGAAGATGTTATTGTTGCAGCCAACATGTTCCACAAGAACTAATTCATGTGGCAGGGTGTTCTGCAATGGACTGCATCCAAGAAGAGATTAAGACGGTAACTATGGACTCCACAACAAAGGACAAGGGGATCGAGGGTTCATCTGTTAAGATCAAGGTGATGTTCTTTGCCAGAGCTCGGGACCTTACTGGCTTGAGTGAGATGCCATTGGAGGTGTCGACTGGCAGTAGTGCCGATGATTGTTTAAATAAGCTCATCGCCATGTTTCCCGGCCTGACAGAGCTCCGCGGGTGCATGGTTCTTGCTCTTAATGAGGAGTACACAACTGAGTCAGCAATTGTTAAAGACAAGGATGAGTTGGCCATAATACCTCCGATCAGTGGTGGCTAAAATGTAGTCTAAACCTTGGATACTCGTAGAAAGTTGTTATGTTAGCTTTTGTTGAGCAACTGGAAGACTGATAGAGCAGATTCATTTGCTAAAGCTGCAGTTGTGCAGAATGCTCATTCCATTATTTTACTTGCCTCCACTTGTGAATGTAGTTTTCTATTTCTACCCTTTTAGGATAAGTAAAAATAAATGTTACACATTCCAGAGATTTGAAGATTCATGTTTTATGAATACGAGTATGGCAGAGAAATTGTGAATTTGATACAACATAGAGATTTAAGATAGTTGTTGTGAGGGCCCTCCTATGGTATCCGTGTGTGAGTGTTTACCCCGTCCCCCTTCCCCCTTCGTAACTTTGACAAAACGATACTTGTGAGGAGGGCCTGATTTCAAAATCAAAACCAGATTTAAGATGGTTGTGAGGTGAGATGTAAACAAGGTTGTATATGATTAAGAAACATTTTCCGGCTAAGTTTTGTGATTGGATGATCATTGGGTTACCATTTGACCAATCAAAGAGGATCTAGAGCTTATAATTTTCAGTTTCATATGAGCTAACCCAGATTGAATAACATGAGGAAATCATAATGGTATTGCTCCCATAGAAATTAAGCTTTAATAGAGTAATAAATTGGTTAGGGAAATGATTATAGAACTTGAGCGTTAGAAAAAGATAAAGATTTTCCATATACATTAAAAATCATTATTATCGATTATTAAAAAGAGGACTATTATCACCCAGTTAGTAAGTATCCATAAATGAGATAATGTAACCTATTTTCTTCTTTGAAAGGACTATTCTTAAAGGATCATGTTTAATTTTTTTTTTTAATACAACCCATAGTCTAAACTAGAAGGATGAGGGGGGCTTCTCATACCCACATTACACTATCAAGGTGACATGGGGGTTCGAACCTAAGACCACTGCTTCAAGTCAAGGTCTTTTTCCACTCAGCTAGACCCCGTTGTTGGCTTAAAGGAGTTATTTTTTCCTAGAGATTATGTATTCTATCAATTTTCTTTTGATAATTTAGTAAGCATTTTATTATCTCATAAATCCAAATTTATATAGAACCACTACCATTATGATTTCTTATATATGAAACTGAAATAGAAATTATCTGGAAGGACCATTTTGGAAGCCAAATAAAGGTTCCACAATTAGTTGGGAGTTAAACCACATAGTAGAGTGGGGAAATATTTCCATTAATACAATTGAAAGATACACCAAATGTATCTACCAATAGTCATGTAATCACAAATAAGTTATTTTTTTTTATAGCAAGGAAACATAATCACACATGCATGTATATTATGCTATACAATTTTATTTTCATCTCATTTCACAACTCTCCGATTACCAGCCTCAAGAATTTTTGATAACCCAACTTCAACATGGCAGAGAGAAATACTAACTCCGGCAAAGAAATTGTGTTGAAAGTATTAATGCATTGTGAAGGATGCCAAAGTAAGGTTTCCAATTGCCTGAGAGGTTTAGAAGGTAAGATTTTCCTTCATTTTATACTGAGACTGAGAGCTTGCATATATAATTTTTGGAGTTTTTAAGATTGGTTTTGTTGATTAGGAGTTGAAGAGGTTGTAGTTGATTATCCAAATCATAAAGTGACTGTAAAGGGAAAAAAGGCAGACCCGTTAAAGGTTTTGGAGAGAGTACAAAAGAAGTGTAGTAGAAATGCAGAGCTCATATCTCCAAAACCAAAACCAGAAAACAAAGACAAGAAGGAGCCAGAAAAGAAAGAATCGGTATGCTTAACAATTGACTTTCCCAATTTTATATATCATCACGTCAATGGTTGTTGTCTTCTTAGTTGTTTTTGGTATTGTAATGGCTCAGCCTCAGGTGAAAGTTGTGGTGCTCAAAATGTTGTTGCATTGCCAAGGCTGTGCAAATGATGTTAAGAAATACTTGGAGAGAATGAAAGGTAAATCTCTCTCTCTCTCTCTCTCTCTCTCTGGTTCTCTTTTCAATTTGTATATGAACAAGAATGGTTTTTCATTTCTTTTCAATTTGTATATATCAGGTGTTCTAAATGTAGAAGCAAATAGGGAGAGCTCAAGGGTGACAGTGAGGGGAGTAGTTGATCCACCAAAGCTGATAGAATTCATAAAGAAAAAATTAGGGAAGCATGCTGAGGTTGTGAAGCAAGAACAAGGTGGAGGAGGGGATAAAGGGCAAGGCAAAGACAATAAGAAAGGCCCAGAAGCAGGGGAATATATATTCCAATACCCTCCTCAATATTCAAATCAACATTTTTACCCTAATCAAGCATTTAGTGATGAGAACCCTTTTGCATGTTCCATAATGTAAACAAACATTTAAGCTTGTAATTTCTTCCTCCCATGGTGATGGTGCACCTAATCTGTGCCCATGGTTTCAGTTTGGTTTGTCTGCAGGCCGTCAGCAAATTTCTTGTCTAAAAAATAAAATAAAATATTTTTTCGGTGGTATTGGCACCCCCAAAAAAAAAAAAAAAAACCTCCC